CTCTGTTACTCGAATCGCCCCTGATTAGTAGACTACTTTGACTTAGTAATCATTCATTGTAAGGGATTTGGTAAACCAAATTATATATATATAATGTTCCTTGGGTTCCTGGTGGAACGTAGGGCTTCAGTAGCACACCTCCATTCCACTCTCTTCTCTGCAGTTTTCTCTTCTAACCTGGCACCACGAATGCCCACAACCTTTCATTTCTTCTTCTCATGATCCCCTCCAAACCACCCTCAACTGGGATGCCTAACATGTCGTTTCCCCTTTGGATTACACTCGAGGGCCTGGCGTGTAGTGTACCTAGTCGGCCTCCTCAGTGTATGCCCAATCCATCTCCACTTCCACATTCTTCTGCATATTTGTTGGGTGATAGGTTCCTGCTTTATTGTTACATCCTCAGAGTTACTTGTTGCTTATTCTTATTACTCTAGCCATCTGATCAACAGTATCAAGTGAGCGTAGGTGGCAGCTGTTGATGAATGTCTGTAGTTTGTTGGAAATGCTTTTCGTGACGCGCGTTGCTATCCAGCACTTATTGCCGTTCCACTATGTGTATGACATTCCTAATAGACAGACTTAAATGAAAGACGAATCACTTTGCATGTGGTTGGATAGAGCAGTAATATACTTGATATCGAAACTTCCTACACTGAATTTCCTTGTATCGAAGGGATTATATCAGTTATCTTGATGGATATCTTGATAAAGCTTTGGCGTTTGACATGACACTATTCTAATCTGTGTAAGAACAACATCTCTGGCTGCCAGACAGTTAGATCCAGCTGAAGAGTCTCAGAAAAGACGACACCTCCTGTTCTGCATCCCCTAACAGGTTACAATTCATGAATAATTTACATTTCCCATATAAAATTCTTGTTCTGTATGCGTGTTCTTGAACTTTAACTTCCAGGTAATAATGAATGCAGAGGTTTCGTTGCATTATTTAGTTTCGAAAAGCAGTAACGTTTTCGATAAACGTTAGTATCTGCAAGACCATTAGCGCAGAAGGTAGAAACATGTCAATCAGACAAGTTTTACAGAAGAATTCAGCTTGTACTGTATAAACAGCCAATCTTATGGTTCAATGTATCATTCCAAAGTAATCTCCAAACGGTCCACGCTGAAGTTTCCCATAGCCGAGTGGTCTGTTAACTGTCCACCAACTGTGATGTCAATAAGGTTTCCATTGGAAACCATTCAGTCGAGATCATAAGGTGTGATCTCTAACAAAAATGTGTCAAGAACTAGCGAAAGATAGTGACTAATCCACTCAGAGTGATATGTAGATTACTATGACTTGGTTGGTGAAATCTACAGACCAGGGTGAGTGGTTTCTAACTACTGAAGTTGATCAGTAGTATATTTCGTCAAGCCGTTTTAACATTTCTAAGCAACTCAACATTTAATAGTCACTATTTACGTAGCGTTCTCTGATATTTCGTGAATCTATGCCAGTATAGGCTTACTTGAATACCTTATGGTGACCAATTTGTGTACATAATCCGATCGTACCATGATTCAATCTTGGCCTGAGTAACTTCATGGGAAATTCTTTGACATTCTTTAGCAAGATATGATGTAGGTTCGAGTCTTGGAGGGATATTGGTTTTCTCGTGGTTTCATATATGGCTTTTTGATGAGTGCCAACAAGCAGGAGACCTGCGTCAAGCTCAGCCTTCTACCTATTGACTACCCCTAGCTGGTACACCATAGTCAGACGTAGATTATGACTATTACTCAGCTTACTTTATCGTCAACTCATGCTGCTGGTCATCATCCAATTATGAAGAAGTATCATAAAAGATAAATCTAGGTGTTTATTCCACATACATCTGTGGTTTTAGGCTACAAAGTGGGACTCTTCAGCGGTGCACACCCATGATCCCTCCACGGGGGTCGAACCTATGACCTCCAAGTTTGGTCATGATTTTTCATTAGAATCTCGATAAATCTCATCTCTAAGTAAATCAGTAGTTGGTACTGGATAGTTTTCATTTCTGGTATTATCATTTAAAACAGAAGACAGAAACTGAATGTACTCTCATCAAGATAATCTTCATTAGAGCGCAACCTATCCCCTGTTGCATAGTCGAACGCATTGAACAAATCCTATTGAATATTATATAATGTGATCAGCAAGCTAAGAGGATCAGAATCCTGACAAACTTGAATTGAGGTAAGAAGAATGGAAATAATCAGTAGAAATCCTTGAATTTAGCTTTTGTTCTTATCAGTACTAGTCAGAAAGGTTGTGGGTTTGCAATATCTGAGGCGGGATCAGTTCCCTCTAGCTTGGCAAATGCCAAGAAGTATGAAGCCTACGTTGATCATAGTCATCTATCGATTAACTCCAACTATCAAACTTCAATTAGAATAGATTGAAAACAGTTGGAGAACAACTCAATAACTACTGGAGCGTTGGAGAGCTGTTTCGTGTGAACTTTCAGCTCATCAGCAGTATACACTAACATTTCTATTGGAGTTCAAATTTAACAGTGTCATATCTCACCGACAGTGTGCTAACATTCAGCCAACAGGCTGGAATCCGGTGGACAATTTATGCATTGGCTTCAAAATCATCCTATTTCATAGATGAACATCTATCTCAGTTCCAACCATTTAGATCTTACAAGTCATACGTTTTGACTAGAATTATGGGGAGACAATTGCAGAATCAAGTCCCTAACGCATGAAACAGATAATATCCAAAAGATATTTAACATGATTCCTTATTACCAGAGAGTTTCAAAGCGTCAGAACTTTGAAGAAACATACCAAGACTTTCCATCTACTTAAATCAACATGAAATTATTCTACATAATATATTCATATAAAATGCATCACGTAACATAGCGGTAGAGTTGTGACAACCTGGACAAAGAATTCAACACTTAAACAAAAGCTTACTCAACGTTTATACAGTTTCAGTCAGTGACTGTAACAACTCATGACATCATCTCCCGAAAACAATATTCACCTCAGATTCATTAATCCAACAGCCAGTAAGGTGGCATTCAAAGTCAAATACCTTTGAAAAACCACCCCAACAATGTCTGAATTAAACAATTAAACTTTCCTACTTCAAATGAAAAGTTAGTTTATCACAGAAAACTCAACTCTGATTGGTTATTTCAATGGCTGATAAGGTGAGCTTCACACTTAGTCTCAGAGTGACTGGATCGTCTTCATTTCACTTCAAAATTTAAACTAACAATGATTATGGAACACTGGATTGTGACCCAGTAGCTAGCTCAATGATAACGTGCTGGCCATAGAACCTGAAGGTCACGGATTCGATGTGGGGAGGGTGAGGTCGTGAGTGCGCACTGCTGTAGAGTCCCACAACAGTTGGACGAAACAGCTGGTTGTCCAGTGCTCTCACGTCCCCTTTCTTCCTCCAACTGATGTCAGTCTACAATGAATAACAATCTGAATGATTAAAATAGTCAATTGAGTCTATCTGTTTCAGTTAGAAAGGTAATCTTCACATAAAATGAACAATTCCAATTGGTCATTTCAATAGTTTCCAGAATGATCATCACAGTGTTACTTGTCAGACTTGACAGACTCTAAATGAGAAGAGGACCTCAATTCGCTCTGTTTTCTCTTCATACTCTTCCTCAATTATTAAACATGAAATTAATTCCAACAATAAGATGTTCACATTATCAAAGCGCATAATCATTGAATAACTTTCAGTGTATGTTTAAAGTTCCCACCCCTTCCCCCCAACTGATAGTGATTGAAATAACCAATAAGAATTGTCTATTTCGGGGACATCACACGCCAGTCCATGGCGTTGTGTGGAATGTAAAGGGGAAACGACCAGTTTTACTTCCGAGGTGAGGGTGACATGGAGGAGATTGTGTGAAGAAGAAATGAGAGTTTGTGGACAGTGGTGGATCGAGGTTGAAAAGATTGCAGAGAGGAGAGTGGAGTGGAGGTGTGCTACTGAAGCCTTATGTTCCACTAGGAACTCAAAGGAAAAATAATCATAATAATAGTTTTGGTGAATGAGAAGAAGGCTGATTTGTATAAAATGAAAAGGTTTAGTTGGTTACTTGAGCAGTTGCTTCATTTACCAATGTAGGCATACAAAGCTAGAACAAGAGATTACAGTCAATAAAATCATACTTACTACTTGCCCTGTTAACCCGATAAACTTTATGATATTAGGGATAAGTGTATTTTTGCATTACAAAGGAGTGTACTTGCTCATATAATTTACTTTTTCTGAATTCTCATCACCACGTTTAACGACTTACTAATTTACATAATCTCATGTGGTGCTATAGACAGATGAACCCAACAACAACAACAACACTAATAACTGATACCGCTTTAATATACTCACACTGACTGCTCACAGTCAAGACGTTTCATTCCAAACGAAATGTAACTGAAATAGAAAGAGGCAGCATTATATTGATTATGAAATGGTAGTAACACAGGAAACTCAGTGGTCACTGGTTCGAATCCGGCCGCCATCGAAATTCTCATTTCATCTAATTAATCCGATTAGCTGCATTGTATTCATCTTGCTGACTTGTAGTCGGATCCAGGACGAAATATGCCTTCACCCATTGTGATAATCGAACCCAACACTTATCGCTTCAAACGGCAGAGTTTTCTGCCACCTCTTTCCCAATGGGCACCAGTTGTTATAGTTGTTGTCGTGTTCATCTGTCTATAGCACCACATGAGATTATGTAAATTAGTAAGTCGTTAAACGTGGTGATGAGAATTCAGAAAAAGTAAATTATATGAGCAAGTACACTCCTTTGTAATGCAAAAATACACTTATCCCTAATATCATAAAGTTTATCGGGTTAACAGGGCAAGTAGTAAGTATGATTTTATTGACTGTAATCTCTTGTTCTAGCTTTGTATGCCTACATTGGTAAATGAAGCAACTGCTCTAATCTTAAAATTTACTGGATAAACGACAATAACATTCAATGAGATATACAATTAAAATGGAATGTAACACTTACTTCCATTAGACTGAATAAAAAAAGGTGGATAGTTTTACAAAATCTTCTTCTATGATAAAACTTCAATCCTTCAAACAGTATGAATACCAAGAATATAATTCCAATTTATTTATTCCACAATAAATTGTTAATTATTTCCATAATTATCAATGAAGAAGTAATTATAAGGCTTAAACTATCCATAAAGAAGAAATAATATTGGTCAGTAGTTTGATTCATTGAATTTCAATTGATAAAATCAACTTGACAAGTAGCTAAATATTCTTCTTGTTTAATCGGATAACACTCTACTACTGCTACTACTACTACTACTACTATTTATTACTACTGATAAGACTATAATGACAAGTAGTATTTATCACTATACTATAAACAGTAATAATCATAATAATTGTTAGTACTATCTTCTGTATGAATGAAATTGAGACCGCCCACTCATATTGATTGATACAAATGGGCAAATCAGATAAGAATCAATGGTGTAAAGCCAACCCCAATGAATTTTTGTCTATCCCTTATGCATAATGTATATATATGTAAATATATGCATATCTTTTTCCAGACATGTATACATACATCCTCATCTATTGGAGGACAAAAGAAGAAAAATGGGCCAAACAGAGAGAAAAAAAAATAATTCAACATTAGGGATTAGAGTTTTTCTCTTGTTAAGAAATAGGTAGTTGATCGATGGATAGACATGCTAGAATAATATGCAAGTTCTTTTCTGTTTGCGATTGCTCTTTCCCTCTCTCTCTCTCTCTCACACACACACACACACACACACCAAACCGCCTATATCAACTGTTAGTAGTTAGATGAACATACTTATGTCTGACTGATGATAGCTTCTATGATCATATATGATATTTGGCAACTTTTATTTACACTGATGGAACGTGACTATTTAACCAATCTGATTCCTAGATTCATTGAATCGAAATCAACTCAAATATCATATAGGTGTCGTTTAAATTGAAAGATATGAAACATTTGCCGGGTTTTGATCATAACTATCTTTGTAGTATTGCTAAAGTTTGGTGAAATCATTGTATGAGTAACGTTGAAGTAAGGCGAAGGGCACCCTCCAATATGTAGTTTACATGCCGAACAACTGACAACTTACCTCGACGTCCCATGCTAGGGGAATCAATTGGCAGGAAGCCATCGACCTAGGTCCCGTGCTTTTTGGCACTCGTCAGCAAGGCGTATCTACAACCTCGACCGAACTGATGTCCCGCCTGAGATTCGAACCCGCGTCATGCAATGTTGTAGTCAACGTCTTTACCACTGAGCTATTTGGGCGGCGATTGACCTCCTGTAGGGCTGGCTTACTGGCTCACTGGAGTGCAGACCGAATCCATCGAGGTTGCAGATACGCCTTACTAACGAGTGCTAAAAAGCACGGGACCTAGGTCAAGGGCTTCCTGCCGATTGCTTCCAACCAACTAACATCTACTAATGTTCACCGTGATGCTCAGCTTCCTAGCTTGGTTGCTTCATTGCAAATATGATTGTTAGAATTCGTTCTGCACTCAGTACTAGACGATATGCAATTGGTTGAACTCCCGTGACCAATCAATAGAAGTTGGATTAATTTGAAAGGGGGTTCACGGTAGCCAAATCAAGATATGGAACAAATTGATGAAGTGTCTTACTGTTGGTATGATTCCTGTTTGGAAATTTCGACTGTGTGTTTTCGGTAGGTGATATGACTGAAAATCGGTGACTTCATCTGAAGCCTAAATATTCTCCACTTGTTCTTTGTATACTATTGTGAAGTGTGAAGAGTTGAGTTGACGGACTTCTGTACGAGGTTCTACATTAGTTTTGTTGATCAGTCAGTTAGTCGCTGTAAATGTCGGTCGGTGGAGTACTGTTTGAACCTGCGATCCACTGGTTGAAAGCCCACTCCATGAACCAGTAAGCCACAACTCTACATATGTTTTATGGGGTGAAAACTAAGAGAGAAACAATTTAGAGGTGAGACTCGTACCACTGACCTTTGTATTACATCCCCAGTAATTTATCAGCTGAATTATGAAATTCAGCTTCACATTTAGTCATTAACTTAAATGAATGAAGTCAATCTGGTAAATCAAGATAGTCTCCTTAATAATCAAGCAAATGCTTCCGCTTTTCAAGCTCAGCTCTACTTAATTTGAGATGAGTAATCCTGGCTGAGCAGATAGTATGATTACAATGAACGAAGAGTTATGTATCATACAATCGTATAACAGCTGAAAAAAGTCCTTACTAACTGAAGGGAAGCTAATATATAGTCTCATAACAGCTGGTGAAGGCCGATAGTTTGAATCTGGCTGAGATCCATAATTTTTTACTTTACTTTCAGTCACCGACAATCAAGGGTCAAGGAGACTGATGGACAAATGAACCTGTTGGAGCTTACTGGACTGAACTAATCTGTTTCTGTTAGCATCCTTCAACATTGTCTGAAGATGAATAATGATGCAATGTGAGTGGTGGTAACCATCAGTGGGACCAGGACACAATTTCCATTCTGTTTAGAACTCATCAGCTGAATACACCTGCATCCCCACCAATAATGGTAGTCTTACAGTGACTTGATCCCCATACTCAGTACATACACAACTGATGTCCCATATTTGTGACTTAGTAGCCTAGAGAACAACATTCTGACTTTCAAAAAGTTAAATGCATTTTTACCCAGTGATTTACACTGACATCCAGCTGACGAAACCCAGCTGGTGCGAAATATGAGTCGTGGACTGCACTGGTAGCCGCCAATAAGCAATTCAAATCATAATTATCTTCAGTTTCATCTCTGATTGCCCATTAGGAGGTGTGTTATCAGTATTAAGCAGACTGAATAACGATTTCTTATTACAAGAATAGTTAACAAACTGCATAGAAATGTAATAACAGTTTCTGCAGTAAAATGATCCCAACTATCGAGGAAATGGAGACCGGCGAACACCGTGGAGGTGTTTTCTTCACGTTTAAGAGGTCTTAACAGTGTAAACTGTAGATGTGCGAGATTCTAGATCCAGATGCAGATCAACCTACGACCAGGCATTACTGCATAACGGTCCAAATGACCATACCTCATATCACTACATCAAGTAAAAAGACAGTAAAGTCCAAGATGAAGATGAGAGAATGCAGTCAGAAGAAATATAAAGTACGAAAAAAGAGAGAAAGGAAGAATGAGAAAATGGTGAGATTCGGTATAGCGTCGTCAAGATGAGGATAATGTATGTGGGGATACACCTTCACCTACAGTCAGTCTCAAACCACTCCTTCCTCTTGTCCCACCCACCCCAACCACCTAGTCTGCATCACCCCACATGGCTCGAACCAACTGTCAGAGACTTCATACACTGATGCCATGTTTTAGTCTGACCACCTCCACCCTTCTTCCAGCCTAAACCTACTTCAGCCAACATTGTGTGACGAGGCTATCAGTGACTAGGTATACGTAACACATGTCGGAGCCGACCATCTCAGTCGATGAAGGTTCACAACCTCATCAACCGACTTACCTCTCCTCTTTCCCTTAAACTCTACTCCTGACTTCTGCATTACTGACGTGGTGATACGACTGCGGTGGTGGTCAAACACTTGAAGCCTTCTTATGTCTTCCACCTTGAATGGCCATGTTTCACAGTCATACAGTAGAACAGAGCGGACTACTGTGCAGTACATACAACCCTTAGTAGATAATCGGATATCACAGCGGCGCCACAGGTGGTATAAGTTGGTGAAAGCCAGCCAAGCCTTTTGCACCCGTGCAGAGATTTCATTGGCCACCGGGGCACCAGGGCTGGTCCTACTTCCCAGGTAAGTGAAGTGGTCGACACACTGAACCACCACACTCACTCTCTATTGTTAGCTGAGGCACCGTCGAAGACTAATCCTGTAGCAACAATTTGCACTTTTATGTGGTGAGAAACGCATTCCAAACATTCTCAAATTGCCACTCAGTGTGTCCAGAAGACTCTGCATCTTGTCAGCGTCTTCACCTAACAGGACTATGTCATCTGCATATTCTAGGTCTAACGAAAATTCTCCACCGATTAGGTTAACTTCTGTGTAATCAAGTGACGAGAAGGGAACTCCCATAAGAATATCTATGATAAAATTGAATAAGAATGGAGATAGTGGGAACCCTTGACGGACACCACTCGATGAGTACAGCTCACCTGACATCTCACCATAGGTTCGAACACGCCCGCAAGTGTTCGAGTAGAGAGCCTTCACTAAGGTGATGTACTTACTCGGCATACCTTTCATTGAGAGGTATTGCCATAAGACTTCTCGATCAACGGAGTCGAATGCCTCCTTCAGGTCGAGAAGGCAAGATTCTAGAGCCAATGAAGGAGTAGCATCAAACTGAAATACAGAAATAATTCGTATATGGAGAGCTTTGAAAGGTTAGGAAAACATAAATTCGAATGATGATCTTCCTGACTGTAGTGGACTGGATCAAGCAACAAAAATCGGTGGAGAGCGAGAAGATAGGCATGTGCTGGCTGGGCCGATGAAAAAGACAAAGACGCTCAACGATTTGGATTTTGTCCATGATGATTTATTTATAATGTCTCATGTCGCACAACCTTGAAGATCTACAGGAGAAAACTAACAAGTTGGTAGAAACGTCAGTCAATGCGCAAAAAAGATGGGACTTCCTTCAGGTGAACGTAGACAAGACACAGGTGATGAAGATACCCAACCAACAACAACAAGCATCAATCACCATGAACGATAAAAATCTGGAAGAAGTTGTCTCCTTCACTTGTCTAGGAAACATCGTCTCAACTACAGACGTCACAGATGAGGATATCAAAGTAAGCCAGGATCAGAATGACAGCAAAAAAGATCTCCCTGGATTTATCACAAATCGGTGTGGAGATCTACTGCACCGTAATGCACAACACTGCACTGCACTCAGCATAAAACGTGAACAAGATCAGGATTTTCAACAACCATTCACTCAACTTCAAATCACTCCTTACTTCTATGTCATGCTTGAGAGAGTTGACTCGGTACAAAAAGCATTTCCAACAAACCGCACACATACTTCATCAACACCTACCACCTATGCTCACTCGATACTGACACTGCAGATGAGGTCAGATGATATAGCCACGATAATAAGAACAAGCAAGGAGGAACTCACTGTGAACTGGCAACGAAACAACCAACCAAACAACCAACCAACCGACCAAGCAACCAAGAACCCACCGCCAAACAAATATGCATGCGAAGAAAGTGGAGATGGATGGGATTGGAGTGAACTGGATATTGACTGAGAAGACGGTTTTATGACA